ATGAACACCATCTCAAAGAACACCAGTTAAAGAAAAGGTAACTGTCTTTTCTTCTTTGAGTGATTGCTCATGTCTATTCCACAATAGGCGTACATACTCGCCATGTGCACTGGTGCTGGAAGTTTTTCCCCTAGCAGTACCCGTAGGGGAGCGCCCTAGCGATCCCTGGAGTAGTGCCTCCCTGGTGTGGTAAAGGGGCGCTGTACGCTCCCCCCACCCTCAGTTCCTTCTTGCCAGACAACTCCGACAGAGGGGAAGGAGGGCGGAATGTGGAATAGACATGAGCAACATCTCAAAGAACACCAGTTACAGAAAAGGTAACTGTCTTTTCTTCTTTGAGTGATCGCTCATGTGTATTCCACAATAGGTGATTCCAAGCTATATCTGTTGGAGGTGGGAAGGAGTTCACAAACTCTCGGGATGGAGAACGGCCCTGCTGAACCTGGTGTCCTCACTGGTCTGAGAGACAATCCCATAATGCAAGGTGAATGTGTGAACTGAAGACCGTATGGCAGCCCTACAAATGTCCTGAATGGGGACATGGGTCAAAAAGGCAACCGATGAGGCCTGCACCCTAGTCGAGTGCACCCTCACAATTGGTGGCGGAGGGATTCCCGCCAGGTCATAACAAGTACGGATGCATGAGGTGATCCAGTTGGAGAGCCACTGAGTGGAGATCGGCCAACCTTTCATGCGCTCGAATGAGGCGATGAACAGTTGCGAGGACTTTCTGAACGGCTTAGTCCACTCCAGGTAAAAAGCCAGAGCCTGTCTCACATCCAGCGTGTGGAGGTGGCGCTCCTCACTGGACACATGGGGCTTAGGGCAGAGGACTGGCAGAAAAATGTCCTGACCCATGTGATAGGCGGAGACTACCTTCAGGAGGAACGAAGGGTGTGGGCGGAGCTGGACCTTATCTTTATGAAATACCGTGTACTGGGGGCTCAGATGTCAGGGCCCTGAGCTCCGAGACCCGCCTACCCGACGTGATCACAACCAGGAAGGCCACCTTCCATGAGAGATGTGACCAGGAGCACGTGGCTAGCAGCATAAATGGGGGCCCCACGAGATGGGCCAACACCAGGTTTAGGTCCCACTGCAGGACTGGGAGCCTAACATACGGGAAGAGACGATCCAACCCCTTAAGGAATCAGCCAGTCATAGCATGGGAGAATACCGTGTGGCCCTGCACCGGCGGATGGAAGGCCAATATGGCCGCCAGGTGCACCTTAACTAATGAGGGTGCCAGGCCCTGGGTTCTAAGGTGAAGAAGGTAGTCCAGAATCAGATGGATTGGGGAAGCCACCAGGGAAACACCCCACTCATCCGCCCATCTGGAAAACCGAGACGACTTTGCCAAGTAGGCTCGGCGCGTGCAGGGCTGGCTGCTTTCTAGTAGGATGCGCTGAACCTCTTCGAGCATGTCCTTTTCTCCCTACCTAACCACTGAGCAGCCATGCCGTGAGGTGGAGTGCCACTAGGTTGGGGTGGAGGCGGCGGCCCTGGTCCTGGGAGAGCAGGTCCGGGCGGGACGGCAACGTCCACAGCGGGGCAACTGCCAGGCCCGTGAGGGTCCCGTACCAATGCAGCCTGGGCCAGGCTGGGGCAATCAGGACCCAGGCCTTGTCCGTCTATCTTTTCCAGGAACTTGCTGATCAGCGGGAATGGGGGAAAGGCATAGAGAAACTGGCTTGACCAGGACAGGAGGAAGGCATCGGAGATAACGCTCCGTCCCAGTCCCCCCCGGAGCAGAACTGGGGACAGCAACGGTTCTGCTGAGTCGCAAACAGGTCCACCTGGGGAGTTCCCCACTCTGGGAAAAGTCTGTGCACCACCTCTGGGTGGAGAGACCATTCGTGCTGAGATGAGAAGTCCCTGCT